CTTAACGCCTTCAGATGCCTGCGCAAAGTTGACATGCTCATGATAATACCATCTATGTTACTCAAAGACACTAATATTTCCCAATGTCTTAACCCAAGATGGAAATAAAATGCAATCAAATCAATAATCCTGGTCATCGTTGCCTTTTCTTCCTCCCTCCTCTGCCTGCCACAATGCAAACTTCATTACCCCTCTAGTATCATTTTAGTCTGTTATGTGATCTTTTCTCATTATAACGAGATCTTTATCTCGTAATAACGAGATCTTTTCTCGTAATAATAAGATCTTTTCTCGTAATAACGAGATCTTTTCTCGTTATAACGAGATCTTTATCTCGTAATAACAAGAAACCAGGCAAAACAAAAATTCTCCACATGAATGCAATACGCTTCCGTACTAATCAATCCAGTTGAATGATTTATAGTTAAATCCATTAACCCTGAGAAAATAAAGAAATACGCCTACTGTAGGTAGGCCTATATGTGCTCCCTAGGTTACTAAGATTTACTATCATATAAGACAAAGAAAACTAACCTATAGTCTGAAAAGGCGAGACAGCTGATTTTTTGCTCAAAGGGATATGTAAATACATTTTTAATGCATTTCCCCATTACCCCCAAGTTATTTTTTGTACTTGCACTCCTGCAGTTTAATGTCACTGTGGATGGTACTCGCTTCCAATGCAGACAACATAAATCCTATCAGAAAGTAAACACTAAATTAGAAGCCTAGAGTCCATCTGTTTAATCAGTTTGATGCAGCAGGATAGATCACGTCCACTTTTTAAAATACCCTATAAATTCCCCATCAAAGAAAATGTAGCTGCTTACAGATATAATTCCTCTTTACAAAATGCAAAAAATCTACATTCATACAGCCTAATAAAGCTTTGTGATGTTTGTTAAATACACGTGACAACAAAAAAAAACTTTTTGTGGTACAGCATAACAAAAAAAAAAAAAACAACACGAACATTTCCTCAATTCATTTAACTCATTCCTGTGCAGGTTAGCACATGTTTGAGTTGGCCATCCACCCAGGCCTCACACCATTCTGCAGTTATAGGAAGTAGCACTGTCTATTTATGGAACTGAATCATCTTTCTTTGTATGGCATCGCAGTCTCACTATTCATTTTGCATGATTTAACCAATGTTATACTCCAGTATTGTGCAGAAAATGTAACCCTGTATTAGGACTTTCTGACACCCAGCAGGAAGGTGTAACCTGTATTCTGTTTGTGGCTGCAGATCTTTCATTTGGGACAATCATTGAGACAACAACCTTTATTTAGAGAGAGAAAATCATGGTTGTTGCATAAGGGATTATACGTTGGGTAATCCTTTTCTCGGCCACTGCTTCGGGATGTTGTGGTGTGAAACACTGGATCCAGTTTTTTCGCTGTGTCTGCAGTAATAACAGCTTCCTCATCTGTGATCTAGTATGTGCAGGACAATAGCAGGAAACCCAGTGCGTTGGATGCTTTTGGCTTCAAGTGTTGTCACGGAAAAGGAGGGGTCAGGTTGAAAAACACATGAAAAACAGGCTCACTTTTAGACTTACATATCTGCAAGCTTTGCTACACACCTTGACATACACGGATCAGCTTCATATATCACATCATGGCAATTGTTATTAAAATCTGAAACAATAATAATCACAGCTTAGATAGTCATGATTGTGTCATATGGAGTTTTGATATTATCTTGAACATCATCCCATGTGAGCGCAGCTTTTGCTAACCTTTAATCCTATTTTCATCAGAACCAACAACTAGCTTTGATAAACCTCAAGTTAACTAACATATATTGAAGTTAACTTTATCAAAAATGTATGGATTTGTGTTGAATTATATCATTTATTTCTGAAATTAACTGGAAAGTACATATAAACATGTACGTTTGCAATATGTAACACTTTTAATTTAATGTTAAAGCTCCCATGAGGAACTTTGAGTTCGTGTCGACTTTGGCGCCCCCTGTGGACAAAGCAGTTCACCTTATCTCTTTGCTGATCTTGACCTTGAAATGTGTGAGTAACGTTTTCTGAAGAAAAATGGCATCCTGCTTATTTTAAACAGCAATACATATCACTAATATAAACAAAGGCGATTACTGCAGCATGCTGTCTATCACCTCTTCTGTCACCTGAACCTGGAAGCAACAATTGCAGGCACTAAAAATAAATAATATTGAAGTAATCAATTTTCTTCCTCATGGCCTGGTTTGCTTTTGCAGACATTAAATAAGCATCAGAAATGAATTTCAGTCTGTTTTGTTAGCCGCTAAAAGTCTCTATACAGGAGCTTCAAATCAACAAAACAAACAATCTAATATAAAACCTTCAGAATAAAATAAAGACATATTCAAACTGTGTGCTTATGTATGTATTAAACATTCATGACTGTGTATGCACTGACAAAGAATCGTGAGAGTGTTTACAGTATCTGCAGTGTGTACTAGCTCCAACCTATTCTGTATATTATAACATAACACACTTATTTAAGAAAATATATTGTTAAGTGACAAACACTACATGAAATAAATAACATTTTACGTTGACTTATTTTCTTTAAGCAACACAAATTAACACTTGTCTCTGTCTCTTTTTTAGAGTCGGAACTTGGTTCAGTTGGGGAGGTCATGATCTCTTTCAGGCAGACCATATATTCTTAAGAACCCACTTCATCCCTTCCACGGTCGAGTTGTTTTTGCTGCGTTTGCACTTTTCCCTTGACATTTATGCGTGTGTGAGACCTCACTGCCTCCTATCCTTCCTGGCTTGGTAAGTAGCGACCCTACTCACCAGACTCCACCTTACAAGACCTTGGGCTGCATTCCTTCCCACCATTTAACACTGGGTTTTTTCATTCTTGTGTCATATTATTGTAGGATTTTACCTCTTATTTGTTTAGTATATGTAATAAACAATCAATATCTATTCTTGTTAACTTGCCACTTCCTTTGTGTTTTTTATTGACTGGGTGAAAAGAATGATTGACTTAATCAATTGCATCTCTTAACCTCTGGTCACACATATCATATGTCAAGCAAGCCCCAACATTACTTTAAACATTACTAATGACACCTATATATTTCTCATCACGTCATTATATTCTCAATGTCCAATTAAATAAATGTGTCTCCAAATGAGTGATTCAGTTTTAGATTGGTGTTTTGTCATTTCTGAGAAGGCCTCCTCCAGGTTTGTAGAATCCCACCATGACCTCTGAGTCAATGAGTATGTGTGAGTTGTCGAAAGAGATGTGTGACACTGTAGCACCACTGGTGGGCTTCATTGACGCCACTTTAGGCGAGCTAATTGCACATCAATACAAGTGCATACCGCCTCTCTCTCACACTCACACTCACACACACACACACACACACACACACACACACACACACACACACACACACACACACACACACACACACACACACACTCACACACACACACACACACACACACACACACACCACATTCACACACTACTACAGCTGAGAAAACTCCAGATCAGTGTCTGTGTATGAACGTTGGCTTTGTCTTCTCTCACAGTGACCACTTTCATTCAAGGCCAGTATGTGGGTCTGTTGTTGTCGTTCAGGATTTGCTGCCAGTCGATCGTCACTATAATGCTCTGTGTGCAGAGAATACATTTGGCTGACATACAATTACCCAATTGTGTCTGATCTGAGAAAGATCAGCTGTGACAGAGTTAGAGCTGGAGGTAAAAGGAAATTATTGTGCTCATTATTTGAGGTTTACTGGACTGCTCTTTGAACTAATGTCAGTAATTGAAGGATTTGGGATTTTTGTGACAATGGGTTTGATGTTGACTGATCTCAGTTACTCACAAATATGATTTTTGATTTTATGTTTTATTTTGTGACATTCTTGTGCAATCCTTACACATTTATTTCACATAAACCTCACATGTCTCCACCCGAATAGACCCGGGAAGTTTAAGGAGTTAGGCCCATACACTCTTATCTCAACTGAGATTAGCAGTGTTCTCATATTCTAGTATATTCTACAGTAATTTGATCATCTAATCACATCCTTGATTCAATAGAATTCTGATGAATATTTATGAATCTTTCTTAATCTTTTCGTCCTTTTTAATTTCTCCATTTGGAATCTGACGTTGAAATTTAACATTCAAATCTTTCCATAATACATTTTCCATCAGTAATATGCCATCTGAATGTTTTGGGTTTAAATTTTCCTGTTTAAAAATGTGTCTTCAAATGTTCAATGTGTATTATTAAGCTTGACATTTTCAGTTTTGTTTTAAAACGGGATTAACAAGCATTAAAACATTTTAAGTAGCTGGCTGTGTTGGTAAATACTGAACATCTTTTAGAAGTAGATATTTGCCTGGTAGGGTCAAATAAAAAGTGTTTTTTTTGTCAAGTAACACAACTTTTATAAAATTACAGTAAACTGATACAGAGCAATGTGATTTTCTATCTTTCGTGTACAGCAGTGACATCTACTGTTCTCTGTTGGTAGTGCACAGCCTGAGAAGCCTGACACGTTAACATAAGTTCCGGTAAGCATTATTTCCAGTTGTCAATAAAACCTCCCACTGAATTAAAATTAATAACAATAATAGTAATGATTATTATAATAATAATTATAATAATATTCTCAATATCCTATCACTGAAACTCTGTACTCCAAACGATAATAATTGAATAAAATCAAAGTTTGAAGTATTTTTTTAAAATCATTTAGCTCACGCATTTAACAAAATCTCTTCCGAGCGTTTGGGGTGCATTTTTGCATCAATTTATTTAAAAAAAAATTTATTATGTTTTTTTACTTAATTTTCTGTTATGCTCCTATTCTGTTGTTATTTATTCTTTGTAGTTGCCTTATATGTGTCTGAGTGTGTTTAAGAAAAGGATTTGAATACTAGAAATAAACTACCATTGATTTTTATTTTCATCACTTATGGGCAAGAACTGTTTTTCTTTAGTCAATAAAGAGTCAAACTGAAGCAGAAACGAAATATTGACAACTGATGTGTCCTTTATTTCACTTCCAATTGTCAACAAATCTTATAAATCAGAAATAGAAAATACAGTATAGCTGTGTTCATACAAAACAAATCTGTTACATAAATACATCAGACAAACCGATTATCTTAATCAACAAACAAAACGAACAAAAACACAAAATGGATGAAATACATAATCATAGGACTACAACGATAAAATAACATACTTATTTAACGGTCAATTATCTTTTCCAATATGTGCGTGTGTATATATGTATGTGTGTGTGTGTGTGTGTGTGTGTGTGTGTGTGTGTGTGTGTGTGTGTGTGTGCGTGTGCATGTGTGCGTTTCATGTTGGATTCTCAGTATTTGTGTATTAATGAAAATTTGTAAATTTTAGACCATGTCTCATCTAGGGCCGAGCTTTAAGGGGACTTGGAAGATGAGAGGTTCTTCTTGCCGTTGTGAGGCTTCACTTTCAGGTTTTGTTTTGGTGCCGGTTTCAAGTAAAAATGAAGCTGTGAGGAAGAGAGGAACAACAAGGTGTGAGCGCTCAGAGCTGGAGTACATTTCCAGACTACAAGAACAAACTATTCAAACCAACAAGACCCTAAAAGTGTGTTTAAACAACTTATTCACATTACACAGTAAACACACACACCTGTATGGCCTCAGCTGGTCCCACTGTAACGGTGCTGGTGGAGGCGACATAGCCCGGAGCAGATGCTGTCACAGTGTAGGTGCCTGGTAACAGAAGTCTGAAATAGTCGCCATCCACTCCTTGAAATGTGCACACACAGGAAAAGGAGGGAAGTTAGACATCAACTCGTCCATTTATAATTTAAAATCTGAGTAACGATGCATCAGGTCCTTCATCAGGTTCTTAAATAAAAGTAACAATACCAATATCTGTGGAAACTGCATTCAGATCTGCATTGCATAATTCTGCATCTGCATAATTAAAGTAATATTTTAAGCAAACACCCTTAATATTCATCTTACAGATAAAAAGAAGGCCACACAGTATACAGCTTTATTTGGTCTGTTATGACTATTATCGTACAATGGCCAATATTAACAAACATCAGCTAATTTTTAGTGTATGTAACAGACATTACTATTCATGTTTGCTGATGATTCTCCTTTATTCATCCTACATCAGCATCCTGTTATTGTCCCGTATAGCTAATGTGTTTTTCAGCTTAACACGGTGTTACACTGTGTCTGTTCAATATGAGAATAAAAGTGCCAACTTTGCTGTTAAAATAAAGTCTCCATTATTAGATATAGTGTTATACATTATTAGACATATTAATTACCAATACGTTGACATTAAAGTATGTTCTTTGATGAACTTTGATTTTTTAATTTAAAGGGACACCATCTCTGCGGCTACATTCAGTGTTGCAGTATGCAGAGGTTAACCAGATTTGATCCATTATGTATGATGTGAGGTCGTTTAATTCACCATATAAAAATGTTACATACATTATGTGCTAATTACAGGAGTGTAAAGAAGTGAATTATTCTATAAGATAGAAAACATACAAGAAAAGAAGAATATTTCTGTCTTAATTGTAGTACTGTAGAAAGTTGCAAAAACCACTATAATACTCAAGTAACTACAAGGAAATCAGAACTGAACAGTAAAGGAGTAAATGTGAAATAAAAAGTAGTGCATCTATTGTTCAAATGTTTTTTAAAGTGCAATACCTCCATTGCCCATTGGAGGGTGGCATTTTTCTTTCCAGTGTAAATGGATTAATTAGTTTCCAGTTTTCAAAATACTTTTTATCCACATTGTTCGGAGCTTGACCTTTTTCAGTTGCAGAACAAGACAGCTTACTTCGAATTCACTTTCTGTCTGTTTTGACCACAAGTTATAAATAAGCCAAGACATCAGCAGGTCATTTAAGACAAGCCTTACATTTACGACTCCCTAAACTTCTTCAACACTTCAGCATAAAGAATAAAACACTCAATGAAAAAAGTAACCACATCTGTAAAATAACCACATCTGTATTACAATAAACAGACTCCGACCCCAAATCCCATCTCACCGCTGGTCACATCATGGTTGAATCCAACCACTGAGATCTCTGCGTTGCCAACAGGGTTGTTGTTTTCATCATATACCATGCCTTTTATCCCATGATGCACCTGTAAAATTATAAAAAAGCAACACTATTTTTAAGCATTACAGTTACTTTTGAGTTTAAAATGTTATTGTTATGAATTCTTTAAGCATTTGTTTTTACATGTGTTGAGTGTACAGTTAGTTTAAGTTTCTATATCAAGGAAGGAAAGCCAACAAAAGAAGCCCGGGATTTGAACTCTTGACCCTCAGTGGTTGGGTTTTTTGATTTGTGTGCAGCTAGCTGGAAGCGATATACCTGCGCTTTTGCGAAGAAAAAAAGCTAGTGTGTGTATATGTGCTTTGACCTGTTCAAGGTATGAAACCAGTGCTTCTCGGTTTCCAAGCCATTCTCTGGGCAGTGCCGACGCTGGAGGGAACTTATCACAGCTAAGCTCCAAGGTGATCTCGAAACAGTTGCTGTACAGGTAGTTGAAGTCCTGCATGCCTGAAAAACACAGAAAAGGAGACTTTATCTTTGATTCAAGGGATGGTCCATACAATTTGATGGCTTCTCCCTGTGTGGTTCATTGAAACCTTGGGTTATTCTAAGGGGCATTTTAGAGTTTTGAGTGTTGATGTGATTTGTCATTTCGGACCTATTTCATCCTTTAGAACTCAAATTTGAAACAATGTTTTTCTGGATCTTTGAGCTTCCAAAACACTGCATTTTGCTGTTTTGCAAAAGATTAAAGAAAATATTTTAGATGAACTGATAATAAATCTTTTTTATATGTTTTTGGTTTTGCAACTTTACAATAAACTACTTTTCATATGCGGCCAAACAAGGGAGAGAAAGTTCAAATGTAACTTCATAGACCATGACATAACACTTGGAGCTAGAGGACTTGTTAAAATAAACATAACGTGCTCCTACTAAATGCGCCTGCTGCCGTTTTCGACTAATTCTAAAGCTTTCATGACTCAACCGAAAAGCTCAAAGGATTTACTTCTTTTTCTTAAATGATCCAGACCAGCCCTGACCAGGATTCACAGATCAAAGACGTGCACTCTGTTATTGCTGGTGTTATAGATTAACTGTTCTGAGGCTGAAAACATGCCCAGACTGTTTTAAAGAACTTAGTGCACTGCTTCCGAGAAGTCTATGGCATAACATTACAGTAAATATTCAACAAATCTTGAAACAAAACACTTTTTTTTCTTACATAAACCAAATAAAGGATTGTGGGGACTGTGACTTAACAGTAAATTCATTTAACACTAAATTAAACCAGAACCTAATAAAAGAAAATCTACACCTACTTATTTTAATGGAAAAATGTTAACTGCCTTGACGTATTTATTATTATTGGCATAAGATGCCGAACAAAGTTTTTATAAGCAGTGAGACCAGGCATACTGGAGGACACACTACACTGAGAAGACAAACTGTAACTGTATGTTTCATTAAAGTGAAGCAACATGGGCTTGGTTGGCTTGAGCACTTGTAACCTTTACAAACAGAAATATGAATGCACAATGTGTAGCGGGTGGGGCAAAGATTATCTGAAGTGTAGTATTGACCCTTCAAGTTTGAACAGGAATCTTAAAATCCATTGGCTTATATCACATTATTGTAGCTTTGAATTAATACCAAGCAGCAACCTCCAGTGTTGAAAAAATCAAATTGAGTCGGGCTGCAGAAGCACCCGAAGTCACATACACATCCCGTCCAAAAACCTGCCTCAGCTCTCAGCCTGTCGTCAGGTTGACTGAAAGTTAGGTTGACTGGAAGTTAGGTTGAGACAGCATTTCCAGCATGGTGACAGCCATCAATGGGCTTTTAAAGCGCCCTGCAGTAACAGATGGATGACTTGATTTGGGCTTCGTCCATTAATATCTACAGTCTATTATTACCACCTACAAAAGGATATCTGCATTATGTTGAGAATGTCTTCACCTCTGTGTGCGTGTCCCAGTGAGCACTGACTGTGATTTCAACATTGAAATTTGGTTGAAAACTGGGGGAAATCTGTTCAGTCCATCACAGATCATTTCAGCATGGTTCAACTGGCTAAAATGTGGTTATAATTTCAACATGTCATATTACACAATTTTGTTGTATAATTTCTCCAACTTGTTCATTTTAGAGTGACAGGGAGAACAGAAATCATGAATGTAGTGGTTGGTTTGCAATGGTTGGTGAAAAAACCGTCTATACAAAGAGGTCATTTTAACAAATTTTAATTTAAATCTAAATACATTGTTTATGTGATGCTTACAAAAAGTGTCAGAGGCAATGTAAAGAAAAGAACAGATAAGACTGTGCATGGTGCTGACATAATTGAATAATATTATTATTATTACCTGACAGGGTGGCTGGTTTGAGAGATTTTGGGGGCTGATGGTGAAAAGCAGCTGACATACATGCAGGCAGTAGTGAGACTGAATCCAACACGACTCACGAACCCTTTTCATTGTTGACTGTGATGCACTTCTCAACATAGCTGTAGTATATAAGATGCTTCTTGAAAATTGCTGTTGATATGTGTGTGAATGTGTCTCGTGACAGTAGCAGATTTCCCAGTCAAATCCAGTCCAAAAATAGACAATTAATGTCTGAATATAAGTGGTGAAAAACTTTTGAAAAACTTTTGAATGCCTTTTAGCAGAAAAATGCACACTGGGGATCTCACATGTTCGACCATAAATAACGACCAGCACACAGAAAAGGAAGTCTTAACAAGGATATCTCTTACAGTATCTGTTATCTGGATTTCCATTGGCTACAGTGTGCTGCTAATTTGAGGGGTCAGTGGAGGTGCAGCTGTTGGTGCAGGCCAAACAGGTGAAGAGGTCAAAGTCACGAGGCGAGTAAAGCAGAGGCCTCAGAAAGAGTCACAGAGTTCATGACCACAGTGGGTATGAGTGCTGAGATTATATTTCTGAACAAAACAAGTAAATCAGTTTAGTTTGAAACTGAGATTTGAACAGAAGTATCAAATTGACTTGTTTGTACATAGAACAACACTTGATGCTAACGTTTGTAAGTTAGCCTACAAAAAGAAGCCAACCCACAACAGCAAATGGAATTTCAAAGGTGAAAATGTACAACCAGCTAAATTTAGAATCAACCAACAACAGACCAGTCACAAGAAATACATTGAGCCATTCATTGGAGTATTTTTAGAGAAATAAATTGGAGATTTTGGGGCACTATTAAACATTGTAACAAAATGCAGAGGAGTGTTTGCTTACCTTTCGATAAAGAGTACCAGCTGGCCCCATTGGTGATGCCCTCATCAAAAAAGTCCCCGCAGTTCCAACCCTTGTGCATCCAGCTGTGAGCGTATGAGTACGTCCTTGCCAACTGTCATTGCACACAGATTTTTTTTTAAAACACAATATAAAGTGATGAGAACATGTTTGTTTAGAATCTGGAAATAATCTGTAATCTGCAGCACACCTTTCTGAAGACTTTGTCATCGGGGGTGGCTGCATACGTGGTCCTTCCTCGAATTCGTGGATCTCTCGACTTGTCAAATGGGTAGTTAGCTACTACAGCTCCCCCGTGGAGGTTGGCCGACAGGATAAAATTGTAGTTTTGCATCCATTTTATGACCGCCAAAGTCTCAGGTTCAACCTGTAGAGGACAGTAAATGAGATGGAAACTTCCAGCTCTTGTGTACCTACAGGATCAAATGTCAGGACCAAAGATCTCATGGGGGGGGCCCAAGCTCTGTTTGCTCCAGGGTGGTCTAACCTACATTTGCACATATTGACTAAACAATGTTAACCCACTTACTGAATCATTTATTCGAAGCTCTGTATAAGATGGTGTAAAGATAAATAATGTTTCCTCAAAATAGCAGGCTTTTTACTCAGCTACACCTGCAATTCTGGTTCTAATGAAAACAATTAAAAGTTCATGTTAATTTTTGTCAGCAATCTATCACTTTTTTTTCATGTTGGTCCTTTGTGGGCTTAGCGTTTCTTAGATACAAGGCCAAGATTCCAAGAAAAAAAGGTTGGGAACGACTGAACTCATCTCTGCTTTTTCTTTGCTGCTCTAAACAATAGTTTGGAAAAGCCTACAGCGATCCCACATTTCATGTAAAGAGGATATAGTCCTTAAAGAAGAGGGCTCTGGATTCACTTTGACCCATTGCACTTTACCATATGTCATTCCAGAGAGACACACTCTCACCCTATAGTTTCCTATTCACTGTCCTCTACTTTAAAGGCATAATAAAAAGCCCAAAACAAAAAAAAATATTTTCTAGCTGCAGCCATGTCATATGTCATTGCTGTGAAGCCAACTTTTATGAAGACAAAACCAAAGTCGATTTTTTTGGGGGTGATCTATTAGATAATAGTAATGCATTAGGGCATAGACTTGCATCCTTGTTCGACACCTTGTTTGACATTTTCCACTCTGTCTTGGAGGCATTTCAGAAAGGTGGCTTATTAAAGTCTGTTGATTTATTTCCGCACAACATACGAAAATGATTCTCCACAAAGTCCATAGATTCCTTCTGATCCTCAAATAAAACTGTACAAACACTTTAAGTTCTTGTCAGATGTTCCGTGTATCGTCTGGTTATTGATATTGCACCTAACCTTCACTTCATCCCAGACATTCCCTAAAAGTCATCCGTGGACTTACCACATCTGGTTTTCCTTTCACCTAGAAACTCCTGGCTCCTCTGCTTGGCTTGTTATCTTGATAAATTCTTGTTTTCTCTGCTTTACTGTACGCACATTTTTGTGTAACTTTTTCCCCGCTTCTCACTTTTGAATGCAAGGTAAGGATTAGGAAACTGCACGATGCCCTGCTGTATATAAATGGATCTCATTTGATCTAGACTCTAAATACTCTTTGTTTCTATTTTTTTTAACTGTCTTAATCAGGAGGAATGATCAGTCAACAAGATGATGTTACCTCCCTGTCTTCGTACTGAAAGTTTTTTGGCATCTCACATTCACATGCGGTATAAAAAAAAATCTCAAACCTTACAATCCCAGCTCAGGCTGCATTTTATTGTCTCTGTCAGCACTAACTATCCTCACATGATCCTAGCCGTATATCACACATGGAGACAAGGAGTTATACTTCTCCTTGAATGAGGTATGTAGGACAATAAACACAGTCTGGATCCAGCTGGACGATAATCTAGGCCTCAGAGACTATCGGCTTTGAACGCAGCCTTGGTAACCAAGAAGCTGGCCTTCTGTTGTGAGGTGTTTATTGTCTGTGGATCTTTATATACACTTGAGCAAGCTTTGAAGTCAGAGTTGTCACTATGGTGTAGGGTTACATATGAAGGACAGACACACAAACTCATGCATGCACACAGATAATCATATCAACTCAAATAATGGATTGAACCATGCCATTTTAAACACAAATACACAAAAATCTGCCCGTTTGAAATCGCTTAGCGGTTCATTGACGAACATTTCAAGGTTGGATTTTACACTGTTGGAGGACAAACAAATGTCGGTGGTTCATGGTGTTCTTCACGGGATGTAAAAATATGGTATGCAGGGCTTGGAACAGACCCTTCTGTCAGTCTGTGGGTGGTGGAACGTTTTTTTTTTAAATCGATTCCTGATAAGGATTATGCACAAAAATCACAACTTTACAGGAAGACTTGTCGGATTTGGCATGGAGCTGTCATGCTAAGGAAAGAAACAGCATGAAGCATCATCAGCCAGCTAATTAAAATGTAGCATGGTTTTGCACATGTGTAGCCTCATGTAGCCTGTGAGAATGTATTCCTGGGCGGCATGAATGAAGTATCTGTAACAGTGGCACAGTTCCTCTTTTGTGTTGGTCTTTCAGGAGGCAGTCATGTGGGTACACAGCCAGCCTGCGACTGGGAAGACCAGCGTTTTAGCTCTCTCAACAAATTAGCCAACCGAGGATCAGATAAATAGGAAAAAAATACAAAACCAATGGTATTAACTTGCTTGCAAAACACATTTTATTGGTATATAACAATAAGCTGTCATGACTTCACTATAATGTCAAAAGCCTTGCCAAATTCTACTGAAAACAGTCAAAGGGTGTTTTGAAAGAACATATTCATCCCATTTTAGGAGAGGCTCAATGATGTGGTTTCTAACTCATTAAGTGGTTATTTAGCACTCCTTTGTAGCACTTATTGCAATGTGTTAAGAGTTTGGTATGCTTACAGTATTCATTACATCATACTTTAATTGATAATGTCATTGTAAGAATATGTAAGACTAAAAGTAAAGTCATGTGTTTTTTAATCTGCTAAGTAAAGTCATAATTTTTTCATCACTCTTCAACTTTGGATTTGTGTTGTTTCACTTTATAAGAATCTATACCAATCAGCCTGAACAACGCGCTGCAGGGAGACCAATGAGAAAGTCCATTTTCGGAGCAAAACCAGAAAATCAACCTTGGGAGCAGAAGCTTCTTTAGTGTCTGCTGAAGATAAGACAGCTGCAGACGGGACTTCCCCAGGGACCTGACCTTAATATTTAAAATAATCTCCTCAGTTAGATATCAGCAGCAGTTTGACAGCACACACTTTCATCCGTCCCTTCTTTTCACGTAGACCTCATTGAGCTGACATACTGGAACAAGTGCTCAGTTTAGCGTTAACTGGAACAGAATTCTGTCTAAAGCAGCCAACCCGGTCAGCAACGTGCAATATCTGAGAAGAAACACATCTGAGTATTTCTTTTAATGATTGATTCAATTCATCCTCTTGTCCTCCTCCACCCAGCTTCTTATAGTTTTACTTGATAGGGCATGCCGTTACATGTACAGTACCTGACTATTCAGAGCACTGAGATTGTTTTTGCCAAGTTTAAAATATTTCAAGGATCACAGTGTGTCATAAGTAAGTGTCAATAGAATCTTACAGAGAACACTATCCAACAGGGCTCTGCCACTTGTTTGTAGCCCTCTAGAAAATAGGATTTAATGTATTTTGAAAGACTATGAGCTTATAAAGCCACTGTGTTGGAATGCAGCTAGGTAAGTGTACTTACAGTATGTACTTAAGTCGATTTTTTTAAAGAAACAGAACCTTTTTTTTTTTTTTAAACAATCCTACTTATAAGTAGTCCTGTGTTATATATTTGTGATCTTTCGGAGGGGCCTTACTCAAGTTTGGGACCACTGGATCAAAGTACAACTGAATATAAAGTAGTTACTGCTCTTCTTCACACCTCAACCTTCTTTAAAGAGTAACATTACCCTTACTATGTCATATTAAAATAACGTAATGCATTTTGTCATTCACAACCTGGCTGATCAAACTACTTCTGTACACTTTCAAATGCAGGCCTTGCCTTAGTTGGTCCTCTTTGTATGTATTGGTGCTTTACTAAAATAAAGGCAAGACAGAAATAATATTAAGAGGGGCCACAGGTTTGTTACGTGCAAGTCTCATATGAAGCCAGCAGGTAACATGCACACTCTGAGACCACAGAGCAGGTCAGTTCAGACTCTCATGGTGGTGACAGAAAGACAAAAATGTTTAGCTGAAGCTTAAAGTCTTTATGTACAGTACCTACAGTATCCTGCTAGTGCTTCAGAAGTTATTTGATAGGCCTTCCTCTGATTTGATTTTTACATTTTACAAAAACAGAAAACAGCTGTTAAAACAGTCAAACTAATTTTTTAAACTTCATTGTCAGTAATGCTCTTGTTAAAATCTCAAATCTGGAATGAGTAAGGCTGCCTTTTTGCGCCTTTGTTTCATAACGGAAAGACAAAGGAGAGTTGCCAAGAGGTTCGACCCAGAGGACAAACAGTGTCTATGAGGAGGTTTAGGTTACTACAGTAAGCTAAGCAAACACACCCATCCAGAAAGGTCAACCTGCACAGGCACATAAACATACACAACATGAACAGATTATCTACTGAGACTTTTACTTTTCCTACTTGTTATGAGCAGTTTCTTTTACAGTGAGTAAAAGTTAGTTGGACTATGATCCAGAACAAAAATCTCTCTGTCAACATCTCTAAAGCCAAGATAACCCTTGCTCATTATTGCCCCACATTCAAACATTAAACACACTCACACAAGCATGAGACATGTACTCATCCATCTACTCCGTCCTTCTTTCTTTCTCACCCACACAGGCACACACATGAATAATCATGCACTAGCACATACACAAAGATAAGGGTGGTTCTGTGTGTGTGTGTGTGTGTGTGTGTGTGTGTGTGTGTGTGTGTGTGTGTGTGTGTTTTTCCGGCAGCACTGACCTGTTGCTCCCAGTTGTCGGGCAGGGGCAGGTGGTGGTTTCGTCCGTTGGTCTTCTCGTAGTAGTACATGAGGGCATTCAGGTCTGGAAAGTTCCGGTTCAGATCAATGTCTCTCGAATTTCCTCGGCCCACCAGGTAGCCGTTGAACTCTGGACCCTGTCCACAGAATATCAATCATTCATTTTGGGGTCTTGGGGTTTTAGCTCTAGCTATTATTGCTTGGAAGCAGAGAAGGAAAACTGTTTTATATGTTCCACTGACTGGAGTGTAACAACAGTGAATTATTTGTAGCAGTTTTTTTTCTGGATATAAGCTTTCCTTCACAATGATTCCCTTGTTTTTTAGGACTCCAAACATAAGTCCGTCCCAAACCTTGAAAGGATGTTTAGACTACAAACAAGCTGGAATGCCAAGAGATTCCGAGAATATGTCTTGAGAACAATAAAAAGTGTTTTGTCAAGAATGACACACATAATATAGTAGGTTTCATGAATTTGTTGACATTTCTCCACATCTATCTAGGGTATAGGGGGTGGCTGTGGATAAATAATAGAGTTGGTCTTCCCTCAATCGGAAGGTTTTGGGTCAATCCCAAGCTCATGCAGCCACATGTCCAATGTGTCATTGTGCAAGACAGTTAACCCCATGTTGCTCACCCTGCTCAGCGGTGTATAAATGTGTATGAATGGGATTAGCTACTGTAATACTGATGGACTCTTTACATAGCAGCCTCTACCATCAGTGTGAGAATAGGTGTGAGGTTGGTGTGACCTGCAGTGTAGAGGCACTTTTAGTAGTCAGAAGACTAAAAAAAACCTATACAAGCTCAAGGCCATTGACCATTTTGGGTGTGAAAATTGGCACAAATATTCATTTCCCACTCAGGATAAATCATTGTGTTTTTGGTGATCTCTTCACCTTTACTATTGCTTCACCATCAGAAAAAACCTGTTGAGTTATTTTGTGTATTACAAGCCATCGTCAGTGCCTAAAAGTATGCATGTTCCAAATTCATAATATGCTATTTTTGGTATGTGAGAAATTCCTAGATACATTTGAGAGGTTAACATAGGAGCATCATCATGACATCATCCGTTTTGTAATTATCATATATGAAGAACACCATGCTGCATTAAAAAAAGGCTTTTTACTACTGGTCGAAGTAATCCATTCATTAGGAAAATGTTAACTGAGTTTAATATTTATGTCAACCGAAAAGAAAGGTTATTTTTCTCATCTGGTTTCATACTTCTTTTTGCATCCAGTGGAGTCGCCCACTGCTGGCCATAAGTGAAAGCCAGTTTTTAGGCAATTCAGCATTGTCTTTACTCCTGATACTCAGATCTATGTGAACAAGACAACTATTATACCTGCTTAACATCATGCTTTTTAAACATTGTCATTGTAAGCTTGTTCGCATTCTGATAAGCTTTACGCTCAAACCACCACAGTGTCTAAGTAGATACACTGTACAGAGCTGCAAGCATGGCTGTGGCCTCTTGTTTTATATAATACTAAATTTCAAATAAACAGAACCATCTGGAAATAGTTGCATCTTCTGATGCCATGGGTATAGAACAATTTGTTGTTGTAAGGTTAATCAGTACCCTAAATCCACACTTTGCCATCTTGGATGCTGGTAAATGGAGCTGCCTTCTTGTTTCTGTCCAGACTCTACTGCATCCCAACATCTGTTGATGCAAGAAATTACAGTGCTGTGTGAACGCGTTGTCTGAGTTGCAAAGAGAGGCACTGTCGTGTGCAAATTGCTTCCTCAGGACATATAATTAGTCTCAAAAAGATTGTGTGTACGTGTTTGTTTTTAAAGGGGATTGCATGTATGTCTGTTGTTTAGGATCCTTATAGTTACTCCCCAAAGGTAAAACTAGGGTCTCTCATGGTGAGAGGGTAGATGGGATTATTACAGACATTAGCAAACTGTGAAAGATTTGTTTCCAAAGAAGGAACTGTAAGTTTGGGGCTGCTGGTTAGTGAATACGCTATCCTGGTGTTAATATTACTCCTAAAGAACTTGTCATTTCCACAGGCGAGAACACAGTCACAGTCACAGTGGAAACTTCTTTCTTCAACTGTGATGAATGATTGTTTAAGAAAAGCAAACGCATGGGAAACTTTCCCTTTTTTTTTTTTTTTTGTTCTCAAAGTAAGCCTGCAGCTCTTGTTTATCGTCAGGGTGCACATTACCTGTCTAGCAGCCACCTCATAGCCATCAGGGTTCATGGAGGGCAGGATGTGGATGCGGGTGTCATGGATCAGTCTCATGATCCGCTGGTTTCCGGCCCGGTACTCCTCGCACAGGAACTGGGAAAGCTTAATGAGCAGCTCACGGCCCAGCACTTCGTTGCCATGCATGTTCCCCACGTACTTGAACTCCGGCTCCACTGAGGAGGAAGTGGAGAGGTGAAGCGGGACATAAAGGTCAAGAGGTTGCACAGGGCTGCCAAGCGTGACATTTGAAATGACTGCCTGAGCGTGCACACGCATAGGAACACACATATGAGTACACTTATGCTACAGAAAATACAGTTGACTCAAATAGTAAAGGTGATTTTTAAGTTTCAAATTGAGGCTGAGCCAAGCCAGGAGCCATTGTGTCTTTATCTAAAGTATTACAAGATAAAATTTAAAGTCAATACAAAAAAAAAATCTTAATTAAACTGTTTTGGTGAAAAGCAAAAATTATACTAATAGAGTAACACTGGATTACATTTCTAGTTATCAAGATTTTTATAAGGCAGGTGCACTGAAGGCACATTAGAAGCAAACAATGTATTTTTCTTAATCCACACATTTTTCCTGCTTGTTGAATAATGTTGTTTTTGTTTTTTTTGAAGAGAAACATTACATAGAAAGTGGCTCAAATGGCAGGTGTTCTGTTGAGATTTTGGTGTGTTATGCTAGTAGCAGCTAATTTAGCCTTCAGCTAACCTAGGGCTACATTAACTCTGGTAACTCACTTATTTGAAACGCAACACTTTCTTTTTTAAACTTCCAACCAGGTGACATTTGGGCAATTTATTAGCAGCTATCTCTGGTTCCACACAAGGTTAAGCAAAATACCCTTTTCGCTTTTTACAAAACAACTCCAGGAGATTTTAATGAGCATTTCTGTCAGCTAGCGTTAGCTACCCAGAGCAACTGGTAATAACAGACTGAGTAAGGCTGTATCTTTAAGTCCCTTCTGTGTTTCTTGAGCAACGGTGCCTGTTTTATTGCCTATGGGTTCAACTTTTCGATATAAAGGGCTTGACATTTACTTTCAGAACATAGACAGATTTAGTGAAAACCTCATGACGAATCGCAATAAACATTACTGCCATTTTTTTTTTTGATATGGTAGCTTAAGTCATGTTAAAGGTGAACTCTGGGTAGTGAGTCTGATTACCACTGATTGAATTATTTGGATAAGGTCATCTTGCATTCCTACGGCGATCTGTCCCTGATTGGGTGAGCCACCTATCCAAACAGTCTCCCTCTCTCTGTATAAGGTTCCCTTCTCCCAAGGGTCCCTTCATTAATCATTGCTGGAGTGTTGATAGAACCAAGGACCTCAAAACACTGATGCTGACAGAGCTACTGCGGAACATTGTGCCCTCTCTATGGTTTTATACTACAAACATGGCACATACAGTAACAATGGCATTTCTTTGATCATTAGTAGAACTTCATGGACTTTTGGAGATGAGATTTTTGATATGTTGGAGTGAGCAATTTAACCTAAAACTTATGAGTAATTGCTTCAAGCATCCAAATGGCAGATTGGTTGCAACAATTCACGTCCTTTTTCTTAAAGTAACAGCCAACTGGCCTCAGGTTCAGAAAACAGTGTTGGCTATAGCATGCAGCCACACACACACACACACACACACACACACACACACACACACACACACACACACACACACACACACACACACACACACACACACAAACTCAGCAGCATGTGAATGAAATGAACTTCCTAAAGATAGCAGTGGGGTTGACCCAGACGAGACCCAAGGTCACTCCCCTCAGTGAAGTGCACAGTTCCTGTTTTTCACCCTCGGTCACCGTGCAACAGAACAGGCGCACATCCTTCTATTCTCCTGAAGGAAGCACCTACGACTGCAAATGATGATAAAAATGCAAGCCCAGCCGCAGCCAGAAAAGCATTCCCCACAGTTGTCAATCCTTTTTTTTTTTTTATCCCCTCTAAGAGTTGCCATGAAAGATGAAAGAACAGAAAAAGACTTTAAATCTCTTCTGACCTTTTGACGTGTTTTAAATACAAACACTATGAGAACATAGTCGTCTTTAAATTTGCAACTGATACGCAAAATAAACACCTGGAAGCTGAATTGACTCGTGAGATGAAGGAGGGAAAACAAGCAAAGCTTTTGCAGGAGTGAGTTCAGGGTTAAGGACATGTTGAAGTGAACTCCTGTGTCATCTGCTCAGCTTTGAATAACACCCCACATGTTGTCAGCGGGTGGATGGCAAAAGAAAAAAAAAAAAATCAAATGAATCACAGATGTTTTGCAATTCTTTTTCATTGGGGTTTCACTTTTAGTTCCCCACAGATTGCTGCCACTGATGTTTATCAAAGAAGCCAGCTTGGGAAAGCGCCTCTTTTTTCCCCCCTCTCGCTATGAAGCCACACAGTAATTCAGCTTCTGAAAGCTACATGGAAAGCTTGCGTTTCATCTCCTGTGGGAAAAAAGCTAAAGCCCCCACAGACTGCTGTCTCCTGCCAGCTATGCTCTCACTTCACGTCAGTAAGAAGTGCAAAACAAATGGCCTGTGCATGTGAAACCCATGGTCATTTTCAATTCCTTTGCTGTGACACCAAAACATATTTGAATATCAGTTTCTAAGCTTACTTACTTTGCTGCATTTTTTACATTTTTGCAGAATGTGAGGGATGGCTGCAGATCAATGAGTGGTTCTCTGCTGACGTTTTCTGCCTATTAGAAGGAAGTTTTTCCATGCAACTTTTGCCAAGTACTCACTTGTGGTAGATTTATTGTTGGTCTCTCTAAAGAAAAGATTATGGTCTAGTCCTTTCATGAGATACCTTATGGTATAATTTGGTGCTACTGTTTTTTTAATTGAAAAAAAGGGATAGTTGCCTGTTTCACAATAGTTTCAGTCTGCATGCAAACACTTTTAATCCTAATCCACTGATCTGTCAAACATTGAACCAGGTGTTACTCACATGCCTCATGGATGCCAGGGTTGTCACTGAACTCCAGCACGTAGAGGTGGCGCCCCTCCGCGCTGTGCCCGATGCTGTAAATGCGAGTGATGTAGGGACACTCACTCTGCACTGCAAACAGGGCTCGAATCATGTCCTCATAGCGGTGATGCTGGAAGTCCGAGCTGCAGACCAGGAGCCCCATCAGCCCCAGCAGGAGAGCACGGAGCCAGGGAAGAAGAGTCCACCCCTGCTTCATGGTCACTCAGCCCCAAGTTTTGCAGTAAAGAGGACACTCTGCAAAAACCTCACAGACTCTTCAAAGTATATTTATCTCCTCACACACCAAACATACTTCTCACTCCCTCTTTGCTATTCCTCTTTCTTGCTCTCTTCTTTCTCTTGGTCTCCCCGTGCCTCCTCCCACATACACTGAAGACTAAGTAAGGACGGCCCCCTGCTCCCTCTTTGTCTCACTCTCCTCCTCCAACAGCTGCTTCTCTCCCTCTCTCTCTTCCCCTTTGGGTCCTTGTCAAGTACATGCTACTTGCTTTATTGGCTCTTACAAAGCTTCTGCCTCAAGTAGTTTTGCCCCACGGCCCCCCTCTGCTCTCTGCACACACAATCTGAATTTCATTCTGTCTTGGAGACACTTGTTTTCTGTCCCTTTCTTTGTCTTTAACTCTTGTTCTTTACTCCCTTCCTGGGAAAGAGGGGTTGTTTCCACGGCACTGCTCTCCCCAACCCCTGCAGCCCTCAATCATCCATTCATTAACTCTTAAGTCAACACACAACCCCTCTGTGTGTGTGTGTGTGTGTGTGTGTGTGTGTGTGTGTGTGTGTGTGTGTGTGTGTGTGTGTGTGTGTGTGTGTTTGTGTGTGCGTGAATGCTGCTTTGAGAAAACAGAGCAACCAAATCAGTCCAAAGGTTGCGAAAGACCTCTCACACTGATTCATCTGAGGAGTTGAGATGCATGTGCATGCACTCCCTCACACTCTCTACCTCTCTCTCTCTCTGACACACACAAACACACACACACACACACACACACACACACACACACACACACACACACACAAACACACATAAGAAAAAGTGTGTGTATGTGTAAGAGTCTCCACACATGCTCTTCTGGCTCAGAGAAGAAAGACCAAATGCTGCAATTAGACTTAGACTAAAAGACACAGGTTGATGCCAAGACACATGCACACTGCCCCCCCCTCCCTTCCACAAACACACACTTATTGAAGAGTGTGCAAGGGGTGCTGTGAATCAAACCTGCAGGAGAAAAGAGGAGCTTTCTCTCTTGCAGTGTTGTGCAACCGCTTGTGGAGGTTTGCAGTAAAGAGGGAAGGAAAGGCAAATGTGAAGCAAGACAGAGAAAAAGTAACAGATGGAAAATTTTGCAACAGAGGGCTCAAGATGCAGGGGAAATGTCAAAAACAAAGTACAAAGAGGAGGAACAACTTCCAGGGATGCAGAGAGAGAGCAGGAGGGAAAGAGATGCAGAGGGAAAATGAGACAATAAAGGAAGGCATGCTTGGCTGCACTTGGGTGTCATTTCTTGAAGAAAATGCCAGGGACATCCAGAAAATGTAAAGCTGAAATTGTTCGTATAACATGTCAATCTATGTCCTTCTTATTTAAAAGCTAAAGTAATTCAAACTGCTCTGGACTAAGCTGTATTGTCTTTGTGTCCTTCTTTAACTATTGATGAATAAAACAAGTTTACTCTTTTTTCCATATGTGTAATGTATTCTGGTTTTGTGACTAAGCTGGATATTTTTATTTCACTACATGTTAAAGCCAATTAAAATACAAGAATTGCAGATTTACAATATCACAACTCTATGTACAGTTATGTGGCTAAGAATCCTCAGAATATTAAATATAAGAGAAATGTGACTCACATGCAGATGCATAATTCACGTGTTACCACAGGACATGCAAAGTTGATTCATGTAGCCTGCATATAATAGGATGATGACACCTGGTGGATGTAGATGAAACTGCATAAAGTAGGCCTCCGCTTTTATGGTGCCATAGCCTGCTTCTGGAGAGACTCTTGGATCTAAGAATCCATGTAAGTTAACTTTGACTTATTCCATAATTTAGCAGTAGTATATCCCCATAACAAAGTAAACCTGTGTGCTACTGTGGGACCAGATAAGAGGAAAAAGATATATTGCTCAGAAAGAGAAGGAAAAAAGTATGTAAGGGAATGCAAAAGTATTGGAAGAACATGCAAAAAGTAGGCCTAAAAAAACTCTCTGACCAATATGGGGCGAAATCACCATACTTTTTCTTTACTTATTTATATGTATTTATTGAAACTGTCCTTCATCTCAGATCGGAAAGGTGGATTGTATTTATTTATTTATATATATTTTTTTGGGGGGGGGGCTTTTTGAGCAGTTATTTGATAGACAGGATAGTGCATAGAGTTGGAAATTGGGAAGAGAGAGAGTAGGGAAGGACTTTGAACCCTGGCTGCCTGCTACAGCCTCTGTACACTACCACTGCCCCCATTATTGTACTTTTAACTGAATATTATATTTTATTAAGCTATGCTTTTATTAATACGCTGCAGCTAAGGCCTATTTACTAGCCCTTTGTAAATTCACATTTACAGTTAAAATAAACTATGATTTTGTTAAGAGACAACAGTATAAAATTAGGCTATATCTCTACTAAATTCCAAATCCGTAAAATGCTGATTTATGCATAATTTAACAATAATATAATGTTATATAGACCACATCAAGCACTCTGTAAAGGGCTATTCTGATGATAGATATTTAAAAGGAAATTCAGTCAGAATTGCTTGCATTACAAAAAAAAAAAACAATCAGGTGAGAAATAAATGTATTTTACCAATTAATGTAGTCTATCCGATTCTTAGTGGGCAATGATTTCTTTCTTTTTTTTTAAACTTTTAATTCTGTTATTCTATCCTTATTTTAAAGAATGGAAACAGCTCGATTTTGTTGCAACTCGCCCTTTCATTATGTCCACTAGGGGGCAGTCATAGTATAGGCTACTAATGACTACCAAAGATTCAAACCTCTCACAGAATTGATTAAAGTTAATACTAAATGTACCTAATTGCCTTTAACTTTCGTTCCATGTCACGATCAGTGCTTTATATTAGTATTCAGTGGATACGCCTGCATACCATCAGCCTTTTTGTTAGGCGTTTTTATTCAAATTCGAATCTGTAATAAAGTTAAAATGCTGTAGACTATTCATCATTTCCATGATATTTTCATGCAACATAAGGTTACCCCGTTAAAAACGAAAAAAAAACAACAACAAAAAAACACTTAAATATAGGCTACCAGAGTGCGCAACAACTTACCAGCTGGAACTGAATGTCACATGTTGGATGCTCTCAGACCTGCCCTCGATCATAATAAAAGCTCCCACCTCCTCTTGGTGCCCTCTTCCCGCCCTCTTCATGTAATAGTATGATAATGAGGGCTGTGGATGTGGAGTGAGGGGTGGTTTTTAAGGCGTTTGACTCTATTTGGAGTTGTGTCCATTCCAGAAGAAAGAGGTTTTTTTCTCCCTCTTGTTCTTTTCTACTTGTAGCTGCATCAGCAGAGCTCGTCCGCAGGCTGCGTCCTCACAGAGAGCCTGCACCAGGATGGGTGCTCTCCCGGCGACAAGGATGTTATGGATTCTCATCTTTTGTGGAATAACATTAGTTTACGGTGAGTTAAATTTCTACTTTTGTCGTGTTTTCATGTTTTGCTACTTAAGAAATGTATATATTGTAGAGGAACACTGATTTATAAAGTTTTTTAATCTGCTTTTGCTATAATAAATGATTCTTAAAGTTGCTTATACCTGTACAGAATCCCAGTTTGCTATGGTCTAGTTGGGGTTTCTTTCTTGCATTTAAGGATTAAGTGACTGCAATGCAGGCAATACCATTGGATACACTACAGAATTACTGCTCAGTCTTTATAGTGCCAACATTAAGCCCAATTAAATGCAGTTCTATTGATGTTTTTACCTTATATATAAACCATACTCTTTTGTCACATGCAAAAGTTTTTATTTTAAATTAAGAAGAAGAATACAAAACAATGCTGTACTAGGAAAACACAATAGTGTTACATTTTTGAGATTTAACGAATGAGGGATCACTTTGTTTGAAGTAATAGCTCCACTTTTTGGTTACAGGTTCAAACGTCTGCACCTCCAGAGGGGCCAGCACATGCAAGCAGTGTCTGGCCGTTCACCCCAGCTGCGCATGGTGCTTACAAGAGGTGGGTTCCCTTTTCCGCTTCACTTCATTTAGGCAATGAAGGGCTGGTGCTGGGTGGTACAGATCTCCTCATTAAACAAGTTATCCGACTTAGAAGAATTCATGCAGATGTACAATTTAGATGAAAGAAATTAGAGGGTAAAAGGAATGAAAGAAGATCTGTTTGGGTTTGATTCCTGGTATATTACACAAGTACTGTATGTATTCATGTTTCCTGCTTCACTCTAATGAGTGCAATGATGTAAAAATGTTAAACCCACCCTGGTGAGTCAACCAACTCAACCTTTCATTCAAGTGTGAAATTTTCTAAGGATGACTTGATAGGTTCATCGTTTTCAGAAGAACTTCTTGTACTTGTTTTGAGTGTTAAAACTGGTGAATTTAGGAGATTTTTTAAACACAAGCACCATTTTCTTGGTGAATTGGGACTTTAAGCCTCTAAATGAATCCAATATGGCCTCTTTCTGAACACAGATTCATCACAGATGGGAAATCTGTGAATAAATAACAACTTGATTACATTTTTAAAACAAAGTACTTCCAAAGCAGTGTGGAATTTGCTGAAAACTGACTGATTTCCTGTATAAAAACTGTGACCTATATTTTCTCAGGACTTTGGCCAGGGTGTTGCCAGTTCTTCCCGCTGTGATTTAAAAGGTAACCTTGTGGCAGCCGGTTGTGCTCTGTCAGCTCTGGAGTCTCCAAACAGCAAACTTCAAGTGATTGAGGACCGGCCCCTCAGCAACAAGGCAGCGGGAGCCACACAGGACGTAACCCAGATCAAACCCCAAAAACTGAGCATCACCCTCAGGCCAGGTAGATCACTAACCAAGAACAGCCAAGGACTTACTGATGGAGGAAATCTGTGTTTTGTTTTGTAGAAAGTTACATGCACGTTATGTCATGTTATGTTACATTAAGTATGGTTAAGTCACATGCAATATTTACAGTAAAAGTAACATCAATTCATGTCTCCCATTAGATGATGCAAAGCGCTTTACAGTGAAAGTGCGTCAGGTAGAGGACTACCCTGTGGATCTTTACTACCTCATGGATCTCTCCTACTCCATGAACGATGACCTCTTCCGTCTGAGGACTCTGGGTAGGGGTCTGGCAGAGGCCATGAATCGCACCACCAGCAACCTCCGCATGGGCTTTGGGGCCTTCGTGGACAAGCCGCTTTCACCCTACATGTACATCTCCCCCAAAGAGGCTGTAAAGAATCCCTGCTTCAGGTAAAGGTTTTGATTTTGAATGTCATGCTTTCTTACAGTTTTATGAAACAGTGTATTTGTTAATCATATTGAACAATAATGCTGAAAATTTATATTATCCTGCCATTATACTCCATGCTTACATTGTCCATCTCCAGATAGGAAAGACACTTCCTCAAACTAAAGACATCAAAGATCAATTACTTCCATCATTACCAAGTGTAACTACCTCCATGAAATGATAATGTTATGCAAGAATGAGACTTACGTTTGCTTAGATTTGGTTAAGCTGTACGCTATGAAGGGAAATTCATCTGAATAAGTGGTTAATTGAATTTGCCTTGGTTGATTTTTTGCACAATGTGGTTTAATTTTAGAGACATTCTTATTCAGTTTAAGTTTGAAATTTAAACTAAAAAAAGTACAGCATTTAAGTAAAAGTTTGGAAGTGTGTTTGGAAATACCTTCTACTGTCTGACAGTTAGCTTAAGAAACCATAAAATCAGAGAGAAACCTAAAAGCGTTGTGTCAAAGTGTTTTACATTTTAAAGCTCTAATACACACGATGTAACAAGTCAAATATTGACTTTTAAAGTGTTTTGAGGCACACTTGTGGCAGAAGCTAAGCTAGTCATTTATGTTTGTTTAGAGCTCTAAAATAAGATAACTGTCTCTTTGCTCTAGCTTTAGACTTAACATAGACTACAGGTGTATTAGAGAAGACTTTTATGTACTAATCTTCTTCAAGGTAATCCAATAAGCGCATCATTACCAAAATGTGGAACTATTGCTTTAGAGAAATTAGTCAGCCACATTTTATGATTTAAAAAAACTTCAGGATTAGCCAATTTACCAAACCTGAATCCTGATGAGTTTGTGATGGAAAGTTTATTTTAGTAGTCCATACTTCATTTAACAATTTTAGCACTCTTAATGTCTAGGACTACTGATTGGTGTTGCTTTCACTTAGCTACTTGTTTATGTCTGTTTGTGGGAAGGAGATTCATTATGCAGATGATGTCATGTTCTTCATGTTCGTCATCTTTAAACACAGCGTAGCTCAGTTAAAACTCATGCATGCTCAGAGTCACAGCACTTGTTAAAGGCTTATTGTGGGTTCATACTGCTTGGTCAGCTGCTCTGAATCAGCTGTAGGTAATCTACTGAGAGGTTAAAAGTGTACCAATGCAAACCACCTAACCCCACCCAAAGGCTCCTCTGAGGTTGATTTGGTTGTTTAAGGTTCTCTTTGGGGTCATTTATTTTCTCGCTAACAAACACTCTGCTGAGATCCAGCTTCCAGGAATGTTTTCTGATAAAAGATAAGACAAGGGGAGAATTTTGGTCCAGTTCAAAATGGAGGGAGACAGAGGGGCACAATGGAAGTGCTGAGAAAGTCTTTTTAGAGGAAGAGTGATCTTTGTGAAACTAAAAGCTTTTTAAAATGAACGATGAACAGAATAAAACATTCTAAATTATCTCAGATCGCAACTTAATCTGTTGGTCAGTCCATCAGATTGGTCCAAACTGAAACATCTCAAAAGCTATCTGATGGCTTTCCTTACAATTTGAGCAGACCTTCTCTGCCTAGTTTGAGTTCTACCAAGTTTAAGGAATCTGTTTGTTTCTGGCTAGTACTAATGAGTTTGACATTTCTTCTTCTATTTTGGTTGAATATGTCCAAAACTTCTGAATTGAATGACATTTAATTTGATACAGACAATCATGTTCCCTTGGAATAATTTATTAAGATTCATATCTTTTTTAAGGCTTTGGCACCCAAACTTTGGACTACTCAGAACACATCCCTGTGGTTTGCCAGTTCAAGAGTCAATTTTAAGAGTTTAATCACCCTACAAATGTTAATATAATGGGTAGTTAGATTTTTTGCAATGAGCTAAGGTGTCTAACATTTTTTGGACATTTTTAGTTGCATGGCTCATGAGACAGTTTTATCTTTCATGTTAATATTTCTGGATGTTATGTCCATGTAAAGCACTATGTATCTCATGTAAAGATATATTGATATATTTGACTTACTTACTTTACTTTAGCAAAACTAATTGACATTCTTATAAGATGCACATTAAGTAGAAGTTTATATTAGCTTGCAAGACTAAACAAATGTTGACAATGTTCCTTACATTAGAACGTAAGCTTCATCATTGTTAGCACGTTAGCATGCTGATCCAGCTGTTTATTTTCCCACTCACAACTTCCCTTTAATAACTTTATCTCTAAGTGTGGAGGTCACACATTATATAAACAAATAAGTTCAGATGAATCCAAGCTCTGAGCAGCTTCTCTGATCAGATGATCTCTGTGTCATTGACAGCATCAACACCACCTGTCTGCCCCAGTTTGGCTACAAACACGTTCTGTCTCTGACGGAGGAGGTGGGCCGCTTCACAGAGGAGGTGAAGAAGCAGATGGTCTCAAGGAACCGAGATGCCCCGGAGGGAGGCTTTGATGCCATCATCCAGGCCGCTGTGTGCAAGGTGTGTACGCATACTAAAACACGTAACTCAGATGTTGTTTAACAGTCTTTCACACTTCTGTAACAGATGTACACACGCAAATAAATCAGGATTTGCAAACATGAACTAGAGTTTAAGTAAACAAACAATATAAGGTTAATATAAGAATTTCTGCTTAAAGGCTTTAAATGCACTTAAATATAATAGAAATCAAGTATATCCTCTGAAAATAACTCTGTGAGTCATGACTGTCTACAATGGGTGTAACACCCGAGTCCCACTGTCTGTGATGTTATCCGAGTTTTCCGAGTCATATTTTCTGTTTGTTGACATTGCCGGGACGGCGGCTGACTCCTCCCCTGGCAAATAAAAGTTGTTTAATTGAGGGACCAGAGAAAAGAAAAATAATGTATTGTACTCACTGCTTAACTGCGTTTCTAGATCACACTCATTTCGGGTAAATTTACATGCAGTGTGAAGATACGAGCATAATAAAGATCGCTAGCATTAGCATGCTAACACAACAATGCACCGCGAGTTGTTTTGGTTTCATGCTGGTGCTCAAGGGCGACATCTGCTGGATCAAAAAATCGCATATAAAGCCTTTAAGTCAAGAGTCTTAAACTGAATATAACCTCTCATCCACATTCAGAATCTGAGTTAAAAAAAGTTTAATTTTCCTTCCTATCTTTCTACATGTGTGGATGTTAACCAGGAACAGATTGGTTGGCGTCCCGGTGCATCCCACCTTCTGATCTTCACCTCTGATGCTAAGACCCACCAAGCTCTGGACGGTCGTCTGTCTGGAATCGTACAGCCCCACGATGGAAAGTGTCACCTCAACTCTGACAATATGTATAACATGTCCACCATCATGGTTAGTGTATATTGTTAGTGTGTGTTAGTTGCACAGGAAGAAAAGGATAAGAGGCTTTGTTTGAAACTGTAAAAGTGTGAAATGGAACATGTGTGTTTATGTGTGCATGTCCTTACTATACCACCTGGTTTGACCCCGCAGGATTACCCGTCTCTCGCTCTGATCACAGAGAAGATGTCAGAGAACAACATCAACCTCATCTTTGCCGTCACCAACCCTGTAGTTCCTCTGTACCAGGTCAGCCGCAACAGAAAAATACACAACAAAATATTTTAAGCACATGTTTTTAGAGGGAAACTGAGATAAAGACAAATCCAAGTCTGTTTTCATCTCATGTTGAACACAGAACCTTTTAGCCCAAGTCCTCCAAACCTCACTGGTTTGAACTGAGATTCTTGGACCCTGCATTGGAAGACTGGAAAACTCAAAATGAATCACTTTTTTATGACAGACACAGGATACAAACTCATTTTTCCAAAATGGAGCACTGTCAGAACTAACTGAGTATTTGCAGGAATTACAGAGGATGATTATCTTATTTATCATTCAGAAAAACCATCAGGTTAGGAATTTAAGGACATAAGAGGCAGGTTAAAAGTACTGCTTTTTAAGAGATTTTCACACAAATATTTGTTGCCCTTACAACAGTAAGGGTTTGGTACAGCTTTCGCAACTACGTCATACCATGAAACCAATAAAACCAGTGTAGCATAAGGGTCAGAGTGTTTCCAATAAGCTTCCTCTTGGTGCATTTGTTCGGCCTTTTCCTGCCATACTATTTAAATGAAGGAAAAATAAATTGTATGTTTTTAAATGTTTGAATGCAAAATAAGACATAAATAAATGACTTTGAACTGATAATGTCAAATGTGGTAAAAAAAATGTATTGACACAAATGCATTGATTCTGATTATTTAGTAGTCAGTAGTAGTAGGTGTTGTAAGGTGTAATAGTGTTAAAAGTAATTACATTATTGTAATATGTAATATTGAGAAAATCTTAATAACCATTCATTTCATTGTTTATGTGACACAAACAGGTTTTATACGTATGAACTAATAAGTAGTATAAGTTATTAAAAAATGTTGATGAATAGTTTCCCTGACGGTGTATTCTGAAGCAGTCGTCCATTCTGTGTTTTTCTGTCTTGTAGAACTACAGTGAGCTGATTCCTGGCACCACAGTCGGAATACTGTCAAACGACTCTGGCAATGTTATTCAGCTCATACTGAAGGCCTACGCTGTAAGTGTTACATACACACACACACACACACACACACACACACACACACACACTCATACACATGCACAGACCTTAGACTAGACAGTGTTTTAGGGATTGACATGTGTTTGCTGACACACACCCATAGCGTCTGAGTCATACACACAGTTGAGCCAGAGTCTCAGCTGAACTTCCACAGTGGCCGAAGTGTGAAGCTGACCAAATGTAGCAGACTCCTGGCTGTGTGATTATTTGGGCATAAAGGCACGGAGCAGGTGGAAATTAAATCTAGCTTTATCTTTGGCTTTAACTTTGTAATATGTGTACACGTGCATATGAGCTTTAGTGTTCATCTTTGCTCTTGTATTTTCCTCATACAAATCAATGATTTGGGAGAATAGAAGGAAAAAATACGAGTTTTGATTTGTTAAAAAAAAGATTGTTGATTAATTGTTTGCATTTAGTTTTCTGTAACACTATCACTAACTTAAGCAGATTCGACATCATCTCCATTCTAAGCCTTCCATGTGTTTCCTGTTGTTTTTTAAAAAATTTGCATCACTGGTGTTGTCAGAAAATCCGTTCCAAGGTGGAGTTGGAGCTTCAAGGAGTTCCTGAGGAGCTGTCCCTGTCCTTCAATGCCACATGTCTGAATGGAGAGCTCATCCCTGGCCTTAAATCCTGCTCTGGAATCAAGATAGGAGACACGGTTAGTTCATGCAACCCCTCCTTTGGTTTCTTGCCCATTGCATAAAATTAAGTCATGTCTACTTTTGACGCTCTCTAAAAACGTCATGGCATCACTGTTAAAAGTAATGGAAAGCTGTTCAAAGAAACAATTATTATTATTATTCCATTAGGAGGATTCATTTTAACAAGAAAAAGGCGAAATAGGATGAAAGTTTGAATCAACAAACCCTTACCAATGACACATACGTTAGGTTATGTTGGGTTAGGTTAAATTGGGTAAATGAATCTTAGGTTAGGTTATCTTAGCTTAGTTTAGATAACATTAGGTAAGATTAGCTTAGGTTAAGTTAGGTTAGATCATAGGTTAGGTTAGGTTAGTTTAGGTTAGCTTGGTTAGGTTAGGTTATGTTAGCTTAGGTTAAGTTAGGCTGGGTTAGGTCAGGTTAAGTAGGGATAGGTAGAATAGGATAGGCCGTCTCTTCTCCATAAGACACATCTCATACTATATAAAAGTTGCAGTAGCAGTATCCCCTTGAACAGATTTATTACATGCATTAAAGAAGTGATTATGAGAAAAAATATTATCAACATTCATGTCTATACTTCTTCACCACCAGCCATTACATTCTATCAATATGGAAGGAAAATCACACAGGATGACTGACATTTGTCATGACTAAATGGCATTAAAATAACATATTTTAGTTCAAAACAAGTTATTTTTGGTTTCTTTCCATTTCCCCTTTTGCTGCTGTTAACATGTTTAAAAGTAGGATTTTCCCTCATGGAGTCAGAGAGAAGATGATGGAAAAAAGTTGATCAGAGCTGTCTCAGAGTTTAATGTTTTCTTATTCTCCTTCTAGCTACTTCATTCACAGCAATCTGACAACACAAAGAGTTATTCTTATTCTTTTTTTTATTTTGCATTTTTTCTCTATCACAGCTTCTTTGGCTCTTTTCCCCGCTCTCTCCTCACTGCAGGTGACATTTTTTGGCCTTCACACATTTCCCTCTTTCTGCCTTGGCGCCTCTTGTTTTCACCATATATGGCTTTCTCTCCAGATTTGAAATCTGCCCACTTTTGGACATTTACCAGATTGGGATGTAATGCTGAATGAACAGTTACTTTTACTAAATACATATGGAGGCATTCCTGTCTGACATTTTTGTGTTGTTTCCACCCAATGCTTAGACAATGCTCACGGTTTAAGGGCCTATTAAAACAACATTTACTTAACTGCTGTAATTTGTTACCTCATTTACAATGGGTGTTACAGAGAAAGGATAATCTAGGTACAAAATCTGCTGTAAGACCTAAGAAAAAAACAAATATTTATTTTATACACATTTTTTTGTCACAATTTCAATTCCCTCTCAGGTCTCTTTCAGCGTGGAAGCCAGAGCTCGTGGCTGCCCCAAACAGAAGAAAAAAACCTTCATCATTAAACCTGTGGGCTTTAAGGATTCCCTCTCCATCACTGTCACCTTTGAGTGCGACTGTAAGTGTCAGAGCAAAGCCCAGCCCGACAGCCCTAAGTGTAACCACGGAAATGGCACCTACGAGTGCGGCATCTGCCAATGCCACCCGGGCCGCTTGGGGCCGCACTGCGAGTGTGCAGAGGGGGATTATAACCCCACAGAGCAGGACCGCTGCAGCGGACCTGCGGGCTCCGGAGGTCCTCAGTCTGCCATCTGCAGTGGCCGTGGAGACTGTGTGTGCGGCCAGTGTGTGTGCCACAGCAGCGACTTTGGAAAGGTGTGGGGAAAGCTGTGTGAGTGTGACGACTTCAACTGCCTTCGCTACAAGGGGGAACTATGCTCAGGTAAGAGCTAATGAGCCAAAATAGGAATATGAATTACCTTTCAAATGAATAATAGCATGAATAATAGATAGGTCAAATGGTTTTGGAATGTATTGTGACTGCAGTTTTTGTTTGTTGTTGCTGTAGTTGTTGTCTAGAAGATAGAGAAAAACAACCCCATCTTTCTGTAATCACCCAGAGCGCGATGTCTCATTATATCTAACCATAAGTCTAAAATCTTAAGATTTCAGTTAATGGTTCAAGAAAGCTTCAGTTCCTCACATTGGGGAGGCTGGAATGGTTGAATGAATATTTAACTTTTAGTGATTACAAAATTGCTCAAAATGTTGTTGGTGTAAAAGTAATTCCAAATATTATGATATATATATTATATTATAATAATTTAATTTCTTATAATACTTCATGCTAAATCAATACTAAGCTAACCTACTGCTGTCTTTACGTTCAGATTCAGCTTATTTCTCAAACTGTTAAACCATTCCGTGAAATGATCATGAACCAAACAATATTGGTGAAACTGAAAGATGAGGTAGGTTTAAGTGTCCCTCTGACTTTCATAAACATAGTGTGTAGAGTTTCAGAGAATGTATGTCTCTTGGCCATTGGGGGTTTGCGGTCGCCCTTCACCACACTGGCTTGCCACCCACCCAATCTGGGAAGCATTACTTACAATAACAATCCTCCCCTCTGCCCGGGACACAGGCTCCATTCACAATAAACACATGGTGTGATGTGTGCATGCGTGTGAATGTATGGTTGTATGTTTATGTCAGTGAGGCTGAGATTTTGTACAACAGAGTTCATCAGGATTGATGTATAGAGAAGATTTCTCAAGTTTGACAGTAGCTTGCTTCGGTCAGAGGAGAGTCTGAAATGTGGTTGTGGTTTTGAAATAGTGAGGACGAGTTTGTATTTGGCAATTGTTAAGAGCTTTAAGCCAGAGCCTCATAATCCTTCTGTTTTCTAGTGATTTTAAAAAAGACAGTATGTCATTCAGCCAAAAGAAATGATGCTATCCAGAGGATGTTTGTCACTTCTTTTCAGTCTGGGAGAAACATAAAACTATATTGCGTAATAGCTTTTGATATTTTTCTAATCGCAATTAATTTCCTTGTTGTCTCGCAACTGAAGGTTTTGGGTTCAATTCCCTGCTCCTGCAGTCACATGCTGAGGTGCCCTTGGGCAAGTCACTGAACCCCAAATTGCTCCCGCTACTACGCCTGCTTTCTACAAATTCCACAGTTATCTATTACAAGTGCTCTTATTCATTGCATAGTAGTTAGTACATTAACTGGTAATGGAATTACTAAGAGGAAATCTTCATATAGCATTGTCGATTACACTGCACTCCTGCCTATAGCTAACTATACGATCTCATATCACTCTACCCCCCCATCTGCTCCCCTCACAGAGAAATGTTTTCCTTTATTCCCCAGTGCCCATAGATTAACATGAAAAATACCTTTCTGCTTACATATTGGCTCATGTGGTGTAATGAGGCTAAAAATAAACCCATGTTTGGGCAGAAAAGGGCCAAGATTGAGAGAACTGGAAATGATCAGTGAGTGTGTGCGTGTGTGTGTGCGTGCGTGCATGCGTGCGTGCGTTTGTGTAAAACATGGTGTAAAACATGGTCTGCTTTTGTCTGAAAATACCTTGTTCAAGATGAGGAACACGGTCTATGTTCAGCCCCACAGAGGGATGTAATTAAAAGTAAGCGGTCTTGTGGTCAAGTGGTAATGATAGTTTGGTTATGGTTCATTTTTATTTAGTCAGACTGTTCCAAGAAGCTTCCTGTCTCTTTGTTTAAAGTGGCATTGTTGTGTTGATATAGGCCACACTGTTTTCTGCATTGTCACTCTTTTTATATTGGTATGCACATACACACATAGATACATGGAATAACAACAAACAAAAGTGGACACACACTGAATCATGTATCCAAAAGTAAAAGCTCTCCACACGATAACAAATGGGGTTTGAGTTTCTTAACAAACATGACTAATCACTTCTGTTTCCAAGTGTTTGAAATCAAACAGAGGTTGTTATGCTAACATACTGTATGTAAAAATGTCTAACCAAGATGTTACAGTGATTGTTTATACTGGAAAAATTATACTTGAAACATTTGTAGTAGGTGTAAACAACTACATTTGTAAAAAAAACAACAAAAAACAAAACAATGTAGTGTGTACCACTACCTCAGCTAGCATGTTTCAGCTATCTCGTGTGAGCTTGCATGTGTTTTGTCTTATGGACAGAGTGGTGGATATTTTCAAAAGCTATTTTGTAATTTCTTACACAAAGTTAAAGCATGTCATCAAACGGGAAAATACACAAAGTTCTGACACAGGCTTGTGGTAAATGCACTCAAAACCACTTAACAAGCTAGGACAAGTCATTACACACTCATGCTGACCTGACAAAAGTTGAAACCCACAGAACTTTGTAATTCTAGTGGAGTTCCCAAGATTTCTAAAGAAACTTGTTTCCTAGAAAATGTCGAAAACGGAGTCTAATATTAGGCATTAGATGAATTCATGAAAACGGGGCTTTTCTTTGTAAACATGATATAAATGTAGTACTCATTTTTAGAGCTGCAAACTCACAATATGTTGATAGAGTGAAAAAAAGGATGACAATGCTCTGACTTAAGGTACATGAGCTTTATTGGGTAATAACATGAAAAAGATTGAGACAATAAGTTAATGCTTGTTAACATGGCTAAAAATAACAACGTATAATATTAGCCTATCAAACTGACTCTTCAAAACAAATAATCCACAACAATTTAAAATATAGTCCTGTCAACCACCACAAAGCAGTCCAAGCCTTTCCTCTTTGTTTCCTAACTCCTACCACACCCTCATTTTAGCCCGGAATTCTTTTTACTCGCACTGTCCTCCTCTCCTTAATCATTTATTGGCTGTCTCTTTGGAAAGGAAATGTTACCAGTAAACAATTTTGTAGTGGCTTTGAAAAGCCTCTGCAACCCACTGACATTTTGGTGGTTTTGTCACTACATAGGCCTACTCATGCTGTGCGAAAAATGCAACGGCAAAGTGGGCAAATAATAAATGGATGTGTTCTCGATTCCTCTGCCTTCCCTTCCATACCAGGCCATGGCGTCTGTAACTGTGGCTTCTGCCAGTGTGCACCAGACTGGCAGGGTGAGAACTGTAACTGCTCCAGACGCACTGACACCTGCATGTCCAACGTGGGTCTGCTGTGCAGCGGGAGGGGCCAGTGTGTATGTGGGGCTTGTGAGTGCACACAGCCGGGTGCTTATGGAGCCACATGTGACAAATGCCCCACCTGCCCTGATGCCTGCACCATGAAGAAGTGAGTCGACACAAAAACAATGGACGAATTAAATGTCTGCTTTCAGGATGAAGTGACAACCGGATGTATGTTTTTCTTTATGAAGAGAGTGTGTGGAGTGTAAGCACTTCAAGAGGGGAAGGCTGTTTGAGGATAACACCTGCTCTAGAATCTGCAAGGACGAAATTAGGCTGGTGGACGAATTAGGTGAGACCAATCTGAACAATTACCAACCCATAAAGTCATTACTTACAACTTGTAAACAGTACTAGCAAAAAAAAGTTATATCTAAAAAAAAAAAGACCAAAGAAATGAATTTCTGTTTAAAAAGATTCAGTAAACAAAAAGAAGAGGAGAGAAACACCTAGAGCAACTCATTTGAACTATTTTCTCTCCATGCAGTGCTCCATGATACAAATGCTGTGAACTGCACTTACAAGGATGAGGATGATTGCCTGGAGCGTTTCCAGTATTATGAGGACACCAGTGGCAAGTCTATATTGTTTGTCGTCAAAGAGCCAGGTAAAATCCATCCTTTATTGAAACCTTTAGTAACTGCAGAAAATTAAAGCTGCACTAATATGTAATATTTTAACAATGACTTATATAAAAACAATTATGTGAATGGGGTTGCTCTTTGTGAGGAACCCAAATGTGATTATCTAAGCTCTAAGCTCTGCTGTTCTCTTCCTTCAGTTATTTATCTTAATTCAGCTCGTTGTTTTGGACTTAAAGCTCTGTGAAACCTTCTTTACAGCTGCTTTAAAAAAAGGTTTGATTTGGGTACATTCGCTGAACAATATCAGAAAACTCTCAGAAAACTGTAGAAATTAGTTGTTGAACATAAATTAGCATTTAGCAGCTACCTAGTCAGATATTTATTGGACACATGGTTTTCAATGTAGTGTTTAAATGTTGTTTAGCTGCCCTCATATGTCCGAAAAAAATTATTCAATACTGGCTGAAGGACAGTATATAAAATATGGTTCGGATTTTCTGTATATACGATCAAAGCACAGTTGATGTATAGACTGAAAAGCAAGCACTGCACAGAAAATGGACTATTAAATCTAAACCCGCCAAGGAAAAATCAACATACAAGCTATATTAGTTGAATAAGAATATCCTCTCCTTTGTGAAACCTGTGTTTTCTCTTTACCCAAGAACAAGTTGTCACTTCCCTCTGCATGCCCTTCATCTGCTTGTTAAGTGGCCAAATAGAAAGAGCGTGGGGCGGTAAAACAGCCTTTAATGGCCAGTAGTGCCCGCAGAGAAAGTCTGTCCCAGGGTCTGCCTTTAATGAATGTGTGTGTTTAATTAAGACACAACTGGGTAGCAGAGAAGTAAACCAAAATTTGCCTTGAACACAGTGCACCCCGTCGTGTCAAAGAGGGTCGTAAACAGCTGGCCAGGTCCTCCTGGAACCCGCTGACTCCACAAATCCTCTAGAGGAAAGCAGAGAGAGGGAGAAGTCGAGGAGACTTTTTAAGAAAAAGAAAGGGATGGAAAACATTTTTAAAGGAAGAACGAGGCTTGGTAACTAAGGATAAAGAGAAGAGAGGATGGGGAAAATGGGAAAGTAAAATATAAAGCATTCTCTCATTTTATAGCTGTCAATTTGTATAGGTTTATAAATAGTCATGAGTTCTAACCTGACATAATGTGTGCTTTTGCCTTATTGGTAGCATCTATAGGGATCAAAAGGGCCAGTTTAAGAGCAGGAAATAGAGGAAATACTGAAAGCTATAAGGAGAGAGGAAGAGGCAGAAAGCTTTGATGTCGGTTGTAAACGTTCACCCTGGTTGCCCCTTTACGTTAACCCAGCTACCATCTATCCACTTGGCTTACTTTGCACATACATTATGTGAAAGTAAGTACAAACATGTCGAAAAATGGCTTGACGACAGAGATCCAGACCGGCAAACAAACACATATGGAGACCAGATAGATCTTAACACTGGTGGATAGAAGTTTAAACTTCAGACAATTTTGCAATAAAGATGAAAATCCCTACCAGACTTCCCTCATTGCCTCCTGTGACCATGAAAACAAATGCAGCGAGTAACATTTTTTGCTTTGAATCAAATCATACCGTTTTGTCCATAACATTGGTATTCATTACTTGAAAAATGAACAATTCAAAGGAAAGCCGTCCCACCTGTAGTTCCTTTCCCGCATGTCATTCCCCTCTCTCTCTCTCTCCCTGATTTCTGACTCGATCCACTGTCCTACCTCTCCGTTAAAGGCACAAAAAAGCCCAAAAATAAATCATGAAAAAAAAAAAAAAAAAAAGTAAAGCTGCTATACGGATTAGTTGTATATTCTCCTTCTTCACATAAGATGACAACTCAGGTGAAAGAGGTACAAAAGAAGTGCTTTATAGTGACCCACCAATGAAGACCCTCCAAGCTCTACAGTTAGCTTAATAGTCACCGTCCGCTAATTGCTTTAGTTTGCCGTCCTAAACTTTACTGTTTTGGCTCATTCTCATTACTCTTCTTATTCGGCAACAGCAGGCAGTTGTGCTCTAAAACCAACCTCTGAAGGCCACTGTGGAACAACGAACAATAAAAGGGCAACGTTAGTGACTGACAAGCGTGTGAGCAAAGTGGAGCTAAATTAAAGCTTACAGGAATTGATATCAGACATAACATACATGAGGTAGCCCAAAAGACAACTCCAAATAAATGTGAATGCTGTGTCAAAAAGAAACTGTTCGCTGTCAAGTTTGAAATGTCAACTTAAAGGACGAATTTGCAACATTCTGTACATCAGCAAATATCAAATATAAGTTTAACTCTCTCTGGGTTTGTTGCTCTCGGCTCTGTGTTTATGTGTGTTTTTAGCGACAGGGCTGCTTCTCTTTCCAGATGCAGCTCGTTCATGTTGTCACGTAGAGGGGCATACATGTTACATACATGTACATGTATTTTTTTTTTCGCATAAATCCCTCCCTCTCTAAACATCCCCATGCCTGTATGTGTAGGAGGAGAGATGGCCCCACCCACTCTGGTACAGTGATAAAATGTCAGTGTTCACAGCTTGTTTTTACTGCCTTCTGGTGCAAATGAAGAAAAAACACTGAAATGAAGAAAAAATAATTATTGCCGGTGGGGGGGTTCCAGACCGTTTTGTGAAGCAACAACCACAACAAGTTAAAAAATGTCACTTTCAGCTGGTTTAAATCTGTTTAAAGAAAGAGGGAGAACAATGAATTAGTCATTTAATCATCACAAAGCCTGCAGCAATTCAACATTTGCTAACTCAATGATTCAACATGTGTCCATCCTTCCAGATTTGAATGAAACTCAGTGCGTATGTTCACTTTCATCAATCAGTATGACACTTCAGATTTTTCATTCAAACACACCCACAGAGCAAGCAAACCAATTTGGAAGAAAATCTGCCAACCCAATTTTGGGACACACATTTTTTTTAAGTTATCTTCAGGCCATTTTTTCCAGTAAGGCTAGGACAGCTACAGAAAACATTTGGAGGAGTGGGAGATAACATGCATCAAAGCACAGCCGCTTCAAGGTTTATAGCCTCCATACATGGGGCACGCAACAAAACCAAAATACCAAAATATACATTTTTGGTAACCCCTATGAGTTAGGATTGGATTAGAGGCCAATAATGATTGGCCGAATTATTACTAGTCATGGCCATTTCTCTTATAAGCCCTTGTGAAATGTATTGGTAAATATATTTTAAACTAAAGATATTAACAACCTTTGTAAAACATATAATGATCTTTGTCCAATGAGCATCCACAGCAAATTAGGTACAACAGTTTAGGAGGTGTCAAAAATTTGATTTTCAAAAAAATGAAAAATGCAGAAAATCCATCATGGGGGAATTTGGTCCAAGAGGCTTTTCTGTAGAGCACAATGAGCTGGACTTGTGTGTCAAATTTCAATTAAATCTGAGTTACGGTGTGAGGGGCGTTGAACTATTGAGTTCTGTGTCCTTAAGTACAGCGCCACCATCTGGCCAATTGGGAAGCTAATCATCATTTCCAGTAACTGTGCCAAGTTTCGTGTTTCTACCTCATTCCATCTGAAGGGAATTTGAGCTGCGGAATAGGACAAATAATTATAAAAATAAAAAACCTGATCTCAAAAAGAAAGATTTTTGGTGGTAAATTTAGAGCAAAGTTCTCCAGAGCAGCTAATGTTGGGGGGAAAACGACCAAGGAGAGCACAGCAAGAAGTGTAAAGTTACGAGGAAGGACGTAGGACAGAGAGGACAGCAGCACACGCAACATAAAATCCATATAAGTGAAGGAGACAAGGAGGAAACAGTGTTATGAAAGCAGACTTCTCCTGTCCTTCCTGGCTTATCTTCTCCTGTGTGCCCACGTGACTCATCTCTTTATCTCTTCTTCTTCTGCTTTTTCTCTTCCTCTTCCACCCAGACTGCCCCAAGGGTCCAGACGTTTTGGTGGTGCTTCTATCTGTGGCTGGAGCCATCCTCTTTCTCGGGCTGGCGGCTCTGCTTATCTGGAAACTACTTGTCACAATCCATGACAGACGGGAGTTCGCCAAATTTGAGGAAGAACGCGCTCGTGCCAAATGGGACACGGTCAGTAAATTCAGCACGTGTTCAATGCAGTTTGTTCAGGTCGACCCAGATAGACCCCAATGTTCATGGTCTTTAATTAAAAAAGAAACACTGAGCAATGATGCCACTCATTTCTTCGGTCTTGCAGTCCTGCAGGCACCCTTTCTACACACACATTCACTCACTAAAGGCCACACACGCAGCCTCTCGCTCCTTGGCTGAAGATGTTTTTTATTATTTTTGTGGCATGTTGTAACTCCCAGCAGAACAAAAGGCAGCCACCGGAAGGGCTGGGTTTAAATTAGCTAACGCTAATTAGCTATTTACTGGTAACAGGCATCTTTGCGGCCTGAAGAAAAAGAAAAGAAATCCCATAAGGCCGAACACTATCAGAGTGCTTTAATAGTGACAGAAACCAAATCATCAGCCACACTTTAAAGTGTATACTCGTGTCTAAATCCCAGGATAGGTGTACTGAATACATGCTGACATGGAGTAGGCATTCTTTGTATTAATGTTCTCTCTCATTCATTAATTTGTTTCCCCTTAACTCATGTATCTTAATGTGTATTTTCACAACAGGGACACAACCCGCTCTACAAAGGAGCCACATCTACCTTCACAAACATCACATACAGAGGGAAAGACTGACGCAGCTGAACAAGGACAAAAGAACAGACATTTGCTGTCCTTTGTGGAAAGGCACCCAATCATGTGCAGGCCTCTACTGTCCCAAGATAACAATGAATAATTATATGTGTTTGTAAATATGTAGAAAAATGATTTTTTTTGGACACAATTTGTCGGGCATTTGTCATAAACACCCACTTGTACCCTGATAAATGAGACTTCTACCTATACACATCCCAGCCATGTTTGTAGTTTTTGTTTGCGCTGCTTTTACACAGCCCCCCCCAAAGGCTGTAAATGTTATTTTTTCACACAACTGCAACTTCTGTTTTCAGTTGTCAATACTTTAGGAAACCCATAGACTTTGCTGTGAAAAGTATTTTTTTTTACCATTAGTATGAAACAACTTAATACAACTTTTGTAAAGTGATGCAGTTTATTTATTGAATCATTGAAGTCAGGGGGAGAACAAATTGAGTCATCTTACACAACAGCATTTATTTTCTGTTCATGATTTGTGGATTTGGTGTTTGTGGTTTTCATTTGGATCGTGGCATTGGCTGATAATCTGTCTTTTGGTCAAATGACGAGCCGGACATACAGTGTGGTTTAAAGTAAAAGTTAGAATTTACAAAAAAAAAAAAAAATGGTGCATTTATTTTGTGTTGACTAAATAAGGAGCATTATTCAGCAATGCCTTCTTGAAGTTGAGTCTAAGCCTTCTGAAACTCAATTTCACCAAAAAAAATACACCACGACAAAGAACTAGTGTGCTCAGGCTGACATCACTCTGTGGTGGGTGAAAATGATTGAAACATGATGTGGTTTAATAGTAACTAGTATCTTAAGGAAATGCTCCAATTTAGTTATTCAAAACCACAAATTCAGTCACTAAAGATGAGAAAGGGACATCCCAACTAAATTTGACCTTAGTGCGCAGGGGCCGCAATGCTCTGCCTCCATCTCCTGGATTTAAGCTGCAAGTGTAGATCACTGGTCTTTCCAACATGTGCAAAGTGATTCACATAAAAATGACACTAAGATTTGAATTAAGAGGAACAATACAATGCAAAGTAGAGGCAAACCAAACAGAGGAGTGCAAATTTTATTTTTGTGTTCTCCGAATTGTTTATGGACCAGTATCCGGAGGATGATGTGAAACCAAAACGTGCCATATACTGCAGATGTTTTTTTGTGTGTGGAGGAGGAAGAAGGTCCTTTACTGTAAACCTACAGCTGCATTAAGGAGCGGGCCCCTATGTCCTCTTCCTCTTCTCTAATTAAACATTCATCAAAAAATGATCTATGCTATTTAAACTTAATGGGCATAACAAGACAATAACAATACCTGCAAATGCTAAAAAAAAATAATAAGACTAAAGTTGTCATCATACGAGAATTTTAAACTTAGATATGATACATATTGATGTCTGTATCATTACCTGAGCACAATACAAGAAAAAATTGAAGTCCTAGGTTGGTTAAAAATATTATTTTAAGATCTGTAGTTTTTTTTTAAAAGCCTCTGTAGCCTACTTTTCTACACTATCGATCATTCAAACGATGGAGATTTTGTCATTTTAAAACAGGTGGTTGTAAAACACCCTTACCTCACCCAGTCATTTACAATATGCCACCAAGTGAGTTGAAGTTCAGCTGTAGGAATGGACATTTTTGATCCATGCATTCTACAGCATTAGGGGTGGTAATCCCCCCCCCCCAACAGAAATGAAAATTTAAAAATGTACCAGACACTTCTGGAGTCCTTGAAGGTCTGTGGCTCCGGACAGCTGCCTGGCACTCCCACAAAAGCCATGACTGGATTTGGCGGACTGTTTTCGGGGAGGCTCTGACCTGAGCATCGCTCATATTTATCTGGTTAATAAGCGCATGGGAAGCATCACTTATTAAAAGCCCTCTCTGGAGCCCAGTGTGGCCTCACTGCAGGGGGTAATGATCTTTTTTATTAACAGTTGCAGAATGGACACTAACGAGGTGGCTGAACTTCTCCTCCCAGTGTGAACCTTAACATCGCTCCACAATGACAGTACAAAGACCGAGTAAGCAGAAATGTAACAACAGTTGTCGGGAGGCTTCAGAGCATTGACAGCTCTAGGTTTTTGGCCCGTGCGGGGCTCCAAGACGCACAAGGAAACCCCGAGGATCAGGGCCTCCTGTCCGGATGACACCAGCAAGAGCCAGCCACAATCCCCTCCTGAGCTAGCATTAGCCAGGCTATCAAATGCCTTCCCTTAATTCGACATAATTGCAAATGGATAACTGTATTCAAAAGTTTTAGTTGAGGTGTTTACGGGTGAGAGTTGTTAAGGAGGTCGCTATAACCGGATGGACGGACAACATCGATTTCAGGACCGTGAGTAAAAACTGCGGAGGGGTCTTCAGGTGAGAGCTTAACGCAGCCGATGTTAACATTAGCTCGTAATGGTAACTAAGAATACCACGTAGTTAAGCGATTAAAAGGTATATAAAGCAACAGCTTTGCTACTGGAAACACTGATTTGACATCCACTTTTATTCGATACAGAATCACAGTGCGTAATCCTTTGGCGTTTTTCTCCTTTTTTTCCCGATTTTGAGAAGCATAATAACATGTAACTAGCCCAATTAGCATTAGCCAAGTGTAGCACCTTTTGTGTTAGTCAATAAAAGTGTTGAAATGGTTGTTTCACTAACCTCCTACAAAGTCAATTTGTCTGAAAGATTGAAGGTTTGTCTGAAGGTTTTGAAGCTGTAACTCCTAAGTATCATTTAGTTGCATCGTTTACATTTGATTGTTCGGTTAAAATATTGAAAACATTTGTTGTTTTATAACATACTAGTTCATGTTTATGTTTTTGTCTGACTGTCAACATCTTTAAATAAACATTTTGCTATTAAAAATCCGACACTAGTTAATGGACTCTGTCCAGGTAGGAGTTCCCGACTAAGAAAGCAAGTCAAAGCCTTGTATTTCATGTAAATATTATAAAATATAGTAGAAGAAATCGAGGAGAAGTTGAAATAATTTTGTTGGTCTGTTGTCTCAGCGTGTTGATGACTTTAAATTGGTTATGAAATGATGACAATGACGTAATTACCTCTCCACGCCCGATGTACAATTTGCTTGGTTTCCCTTCTTGTTCACTTGCTGATTTGACAAATTGAATGTCCAATTTGTCAAAGTATCCCAGGACCTGCATCTGAACATGCAGGAGTTTTACTGTCACTGCTGGTCAGATCACGATGCTCTCTTCAGAGGAAATACTATATAATAATAATAATAATAATACATTATCTGCCTGTGAACTGTTTCAGTCAGAATCTGAGAATATAATTTTGCTTTGGTTCAACATCATCATCATCATCACATTATATTGTCAGTACAGCTGGTTAAATTAAATTAATCTGCTACGATAAAGCTTAAAACTTGAGCCGTCTGTGACTGTCAAATGTTGTTTAAAGAAGCAGATGGATTTTATAAAAAATGTTTTATAATCCTTTTTTTTTTTTTTTTTTTTACAGCTAATGAAATATGTTTTTTTTTTTTTTTAAATGATTTAGCTACAGTAAACTAACGCCTGTTCATATGTGCCAGATTTCTCTATTCAGACGGTAACCAAACCCAGCTAGTGCACATTATAACATTTTTAATATTTGTGTGTGTCTGTGTTATTCTAGGCATGATGGAGGGACTTCACAGTCAGGCTATTAGCCTGGACCCACGCAGGCAGGAGCTGCTAGAGGCCCGCTTTACTGGAGTTGGTGTGACCAAGGTTCGCATTTCTAAATAACGATTTAAATAAAAAATATTTGAGCTGCTGATTTTATTCTTAAATCTAATGAGGGTTCCATTTTTAGGCAGTGCTTAGGTACATGTTAAAATGCAAACGAAAAGCTCCCAGTTTTCATGCAGAAAATCCTCCCTAGCCCTTTTTGTTTAAGTGTGACTCTAAACATGGGCATCATATTTTCTCCCTTGTATGCAAGCCCTTCAGCTTGGGAGTATTCTCTATTTCCAGTATTGACTGATGCCCTGTGTTCTGAGTTTCCCCTGTGGAATGATGGTGTCTCCCTGAGCTAAAGCTAAACAAGACGATCTCTGTCTCGGCTGACATGGGAGCCAGCCAGCAGCTCTTTGTTTCAGTTGAGACTAGTGACACTGAAATGGCACCGAGGCTGAAGCTCACAGCACAGGCTGCGTGTGATGCTGCAACCCTGCTGTTGAACTGAGTGTTAGAAAATGGCAACCCCTGAGAAAGCAATCACTCTTGTTCATGCTTCGACCTGTAGTGCTGCTTTGAAATGAAGTGTTAGGCCTGCTTGCCGTGAGATAACAACTGTGTGAATGATCGAAGACTTGGGGTATGAAAAATATAGGAAATGTTTTATTGAAGTACCATTCGATAAATATGTTTTTTTTTACATGTTAAGAGAAAAAGAGCATTTCTGGCCGTATGTGTGACCTTGAGCAGCAGAAAGCCAGCAGGGCCTAAAAGCATTAGCCTCCTGCTCCAATTAGCCTGCTGTTTCTTCTAAGTCTCATCAGGCTGTGCAGCTGGCCGTGAACAGTATGCATGACTCAAACTGATTCCACCTAGTGGATGTTAACTGAAGATTTGCAGATTAACAAGGAGATACATTATTCTCCTTCTGTGGTGTCCTTGCTTATTGGCTCTGCTTTATCAGGAAAGTTACATCTTAGGTGGTTAAAGCACGTGCTGAAATTCCTGCAAAAACAAGGTCCAGGGTGGGGGAAAATAATATACTTATCAAGTCTTAAATCCAATGTCAAATCTTAAGCCAATAATTTGAAAACTTAGAAAGTTGTGAAGATCTGAACCTTGATATTTGAGTTTTCTTGTAAGTGGATGTCAACAGAGCTCAACAAAAAAACAAACATTTAGTAAATGTAGGACACTGGAATTATTGGACAGAGATCATAATGTTTCACTTGACTTTTCCATTTATAAATATCATTCTGAAATGTGTGTATCTACTTCAAACAGAGCACAACACAGATCTTCTGTCAGGTCTAATGCATTGTTTTTTACTTTCCAGAGTTCAGCCAATAGTGAATCATCCAACCAGTCTCTATGCAGTGCAGGATCACTCAGTGACAAGGAACTGGAGGTTGGTATAGTGGGATTTAAAAAAAAATCTTTATAACAAATCAAGGTTGGAAATGAACTTTTTCACCTACCTGCCACTGACGATGATGTGGAAAATTTCACAATGTTTGTTTATTAAAGCTGTGCTTCTTTTCTACTCGTGTCAGACACCAGAGAAGAAGGGCAATGAGCAGAGAATCAGGAAGAGAAAAGGAGACATCTATGACAGCAACAGCCAGGGTAAGTCGTAATACTTACTGGTCGGGGTTTCCAAAAGAAACAGCTCCCCTTTTATTCTGTATTATTCAGATCACATGGTTTCATATTGGCTCTCTATATGCATGGTTTTTCATGTAGAAAACAATTCTAAAGATACAAGTCATATTCAGTGTCGTTCCTTACATCTGTGCTGTTTTTTTTCCAGGAAAACTGAGAGGGCAAAAAATAAGTGATTATTTTGAGGTGAGTAAAAACTTATATTGACCCCATATTCATTTTGTTTGTAAAAATGTTTGGCTTTAAACACTTTGCTTTGCCTTGTTTCAAATCACTCTCAAACTTGATGTAATCTCTTAACCCTCACTTTCTGACTTTCTGAGTCCTTATCCTTACCTTTTGAATAACATCTATTTGTGCTTATTTTCTGTCTTGTTTGCATTCTTTGTTACTCATGTCCCTGTGGCCAGTTTGCTGGTAGCAGCGGCTCTGGCACCAGTCCTGCTCGGGGCATTTCCATGCTGGTGCGCTCCTCTCCCCAACATTCACTGTCTAATCCTTTGGTGAGCACCAGCATCCATCTCCATAGCTTTCTTCTTCTTCTTCTTCTTTGTCTGTCCTTTCTCACTTCTTTTTTTGTTTTGTTTACTAATTTACCATCTGATAATTCTTCAGTTAGATTCAAATTCATTTGTATTTTTTTGTCAACTCAGAGTGTCTTTATTATCTTATGAGAGAGGGACGGGAAAGTACACCGTCTGTGTTGTGGCTAATAAACATGTGCGATCAGTGACTTACAGTGTACCACTGGGTAAAAGGACTATTCAAATGTGTGGCCACTGTCTGGGGCTGTTCATCAATATGTTTGACTACTGTATCAACCAAAATCTAAGTTAGATTCATTTCAGTTTTTGGCTTTTTAAAAACGTTTGTTCTGGTTCAAGGTCTCTGCCCAAACTTATAAAACCATTTCATTTGTTAATTTGACTCCAATCAGAAAACAGGACCATTTTATTAAAGATTCCAAGGAGCTGGTTTGGTGTAGATGTTTTGCTTTGAGTAGAGGTGAGACAGAGGAAGCA